TATATATATATATATATATATTTTTATTTTTTTATGTTTCTATTTATGTCTCCGTATGCCTTATTTTGTTTGTGTGTGTGTGTGTGTGTGTGTGTGTGTGTGTGTGTGTGTGCGCGCGTGTGTGTGTGTGTGTTTTATTAGTTTTTTTTCTGTCTTTTTTCCTAATTTCGGGATTAAAATATCCCGATCGGGATTGAACCAATTCCCGAAATTTTAGTCCCAAATAGTAAAATTCCGATCAGGACGGGACGGGATCCCGAATCCCGATCCCAAATGCCCAGCCCTACTTCTGATATCAAAATTATATTCAAGAAAAATAAAAAGTACCGAGCTCAATAGCATCCTCTTAAGATTCAGTTGCACTTCTTGTAGTTCTGCCATGTTTATTTTCACCAATTTGCTCCCTAGTAGCATCTTGTGGATTTAAAGCCACTACATTCTGATTTAATCATTTATCCTTTACATATATACATAATGTATTTTGAGTTAATATTGTTTACGTTCACTTAAACCTTGTATGATCTAAGTAACTAAAATAAATAAGTAAATACAACCTAATTGATTTTTACTTCCACCTGGTCTAGGTGAGCGAAATCCAAACATTTGACTAGATTGCACACATAAATCAGATCTAATGCGCTTGCTTCTAATCCCACGTGGTCCCCATGAGCCAAGTTCAGGTAATTTATTGAGTTGTTCGCTTAAACCATGCCGAGTGCCCTTGCTTTTAGCTCCACGTGAGCGAAATTCAGGTAATTAGTTGGATTGGTCACTTGAATCATGTCTGATGCCGTCGGGTTTGGGTATAGTTGTAGGAGTCAATATCTGTAGCAAAAACAATAAACGAGTTATCAAGGTAAAGATTAGCACATTGATAAAAGATGATAAAATATGTGCATAACATTTGAAAAAGCAAGAAAAATAGGAACAACAAATGAATATAAACAACAACGAAGAAAAACAAAAAACATCACTAAAAAAAAACACTTATTGGCTTTAAACTATTGTCCCTTCTACTTCTTCTCTAACTCGATTCGATTCTTCATTGACGAGGTCCAATAAGATATCACTACTACTACTTCGATGTAATATTACTCTATCCAAACTCAAAATTGGATCCATGTCAAATGAATCTCTTGCTTTAGAAGTAACAAAAATGTGCCATCCCTATTCCAGTGGATCTTCTATATGAAAGACTTGATGTGCTTGAGAAGCTAGAATAAAAGGCTCATCATGTTGTCTCGAATTAGAAAAATTGACTAAGGTAAAACCATTGTCATCATGCTTTTGTGCCTTCCAGGTGAAACCAGTTGCACTCAAACATTACAATTTTGCTTCCCCCAAAATATTCTAATTCAATGATATCTTGTAGAACCTCATAGTAAGTAACATCACCAACAATGGGATTTTGATCTTTCCTAGTGAAACTACTAGTTTGTGCATTGACGACCAATCCACTGTTTTATGTTCTTCTCCGATTTTCAAACGTTTTCTCATTAAATCGATAACCATTGACAGTAAATCATCTATATCGCTTGCCAACTTCATTTGGGCCCCGAGCTAGAGCCCTAAGCTCATCTGACAACTGATTTCCCTCAAGATGCAATCTCTCAACCTGTTAAGTATAATAAAGTGAGAATAATCGATTACTTGACAAACATAAAAATAACTCATAAGTATCTATTCTTTAATAATATATGATGTTATACTTACATATTTCATAAACCAACCGTAAAATGTTCGACTGTGGATTCGTTCGATATCTCTTTTGCCAAGACGGGGATTTTGATCTTTGACAATGGTCTTGTGTTGTCTATATTTGAATCGTATTCAAATAATCACATTTTCATAATAAATAAATAAAATTGAACATCAATTATTCTTTCTTGATAAATGATTCAATTGAATCATAATTGAACAACACATATTGGTGTGCCTTGGAACGTTTTTCAGTTTCCAAAACAACACACTCTTGCCTCCCAATATGGCGCCTAGGATTAGAGAAAATGTAATATGACTATTGTTATCGTCACTTCTTTTAACCCTATTGAATTTAGTCTCCACATATTCAAAGTATCTTGAACAAAAAAGTCAAATTTTCTTCCATCAAATATTCTTCTGCAATAGAACCCTGAGGACGACTTCGATTCCACACGTATGATTTCAATGTTGATAGATATCTAGTGGATTTTTTAAAAGTTATCAAACAATTTTGTAGCATTTAAATAAAATATAATGATACAAAAAATAATAGTTACCTTTCAATAGGATGTATCCAACGATATTGACCTGGTCCCGAAATTCGAGCCTCGTATGCTAGATGAATCTTGATATCGAAGAATGATGGAGGAATTTTTTTCTCCAAATCACATAGAGTTTTAGCAACCTCTTTTTCCAAACGAATTAAATCTCGAGCTTTGAGAACTTTAGAACAAAGTTCTCTAAAAAACCTCCACAAACTAAAAAAAGATGCTCTGACATGCTTTGGCAATACATTACGCCAAGCAGTTGGAAGTATTTGTTGCATTAAGATATGATTGTCATGACTTTTTAGACCTGAAATTTTAGGTGGTTTAATCTGCACATGCCTTGATATATTTGATGCATAACTATCAGGTACTTTCTCGCTCTTTAAAACTTCAAGAAATATTATATCTTTCCCTTTTTTACTCATTGAAAATGAGGCTGCCGGCAAGTATCTTTTTCCTGAATCAAGCTGCATAGGATGCAGACCAGGTCTTATGCCCATATCTTGCAAATCAAGGCGATAATTTTCATCGTCTTTTGTTTTTCCATTCAAATTTTAATAAATTCTCGAGCACACTGTCGCATACATTCTTCTCTATATGCATTACGTCTAAATTATGACACAACAATTCA